ACCAGCGTGGTGGACTCGGATGGAAGGCGCCTGACGTGTGGCTCTGGCTTCTGATTGGTCAATAAAGCCTGTTCTGTTGTGCCAGTATTCTTCCTATTAGGGCTCGGGTATTCTACAGTAGCGTCGGATTAGGGCGCAGACATGTTGGACCACCTGGCCTCAGCAGATCCCGTGTCTCTCTGCGATCCAATGGCATGCGGGAAAGGAAGGCAGCCAACCAGCGAAGGACATGGATGAGATGCATTGTATAATGAGCGGCGTGGCCAGCGTGGTGGACTCGGATGGAAGGCGCCTGACGTGTGGCTCTGGCTTCTGATTGGTCAATAAAGCCTGTTCTGTTGAACCGGTCTTTTACCTATTAGGGCTCGGGTATTCTACATTGGTGGCAGCGGATGCGTTCTAATAACGCAAATCGAACCCCAGCCCTTACTCTTCAGTGGTCAACAGAGGCGAAGACCCTCGAATGCCAGCTGAATTTGTCATGGCGGTCATCCGATGTCCAATAAAGTGGATCCATAGACATTGCCCGGGATTAGTACTACTGCATCTGAAGAGGCATTGGCAGCTCAGGGACGACGACATGGACAGTAGAAGCCAGCTGGACTGCAACTGCGAAGGGACCTACGATGGATGATGCGTTTACTATTCGCTTGAACCACTATCCAGCCAGATGTGGATATCGGGGAGTGTCAGACTAAATATTTCATCGATCATCAACAGTGCGGAAATCAAGCCAGAAGCTAAGGACTGCTTCACTCCTCAGAGGGAGGCAGTGGAACGACGTCTTAGGGCGCAGACCTTGTTTACCACGCTGGGCTCAGCCAATCCTCTGTCTCTCGGCGTTCATTTGGCGTGCAAGGAAGAACTGTAGCCAACTAGTGACAAGAGACAACGAGGTACGGTATATAGAGCAACGCAACCAGCTTGGTGGACTCGGATGTGCGGCGCCTGACATGTGGTTCTGGCTTGTGATTGGTCTATGGAGCCATTTCTGTTATTTCAGTCTTTTTCATATTATGGCTCGAGTATTCTACACGCTTTAGCCCCCGGATAGAGGGTAGCCATCTTGCTGTTCGGGTCTGGTGTGAGAGCCAAAGGTGCGCCATGGCGGTGGCATCTGTAACGTACCTGGACAAGATAAGAGGGGGTAGGGATGGTTATACAGATTTACTAGTACAAAATACTGTTGATTCACCAGCATCAGACTAAAGGTTCATTATGGACGAAGGGTTTGCTGATATAGTTGGTCTGAGTTGCTTGTATCCACCCATTGGCTCCCGCTTGGCTTCTAGAAATCGAGAGACAAACTCGTGAAATGACTGAAAACACGGGCTTTGGCACACCATTCGAAACCCCACGGCCACACTCAACCGAAATTCACGCCACCTATCTCTTGATGCCGCCGCCAAGGCGCGCTGCTGGCTCTCGACCAATGGTTGAACACCAAGATTGCAGTCCTCTGCTCCCACGCTACACATTACGCGAACATAACGTGATTTCTGTTTGTGTGAGCTGTGGGTTTTCGAATAGTGCGCCAAAGTCAGAGTGTCTACTCACTTAATGAGTTTGACCTTCTATTTCTAGAAACTGTGGCTAGCAGCAAGACAGCACAGTTAGCATTCGTGAGCGAACACAATTCAATCGATTTTTCGTGAATGCACTGTAGTGGACAGACAGCCAACACACGTGAATGATGTGTGTATGCTTGCCTGACTGCATCAATGACTCACCCTCCTTGTTATTGATCCTTATTAGCATTTGCCTGTTACGCGCGCATATTGATGCCCACACAAAAATAGTTACTTGACGTGTCTGCCGTGACGCAAATAAACGGTCGTGTTTTCCGTCGACTCTTGTCTTCCCTCGTCTCGGGCTGTTACCGGCTGTTAGCCGTAGGGTTGTAAGGTAGTATTAAACCCGGCAACTACAAAACCAAGAAGTAGACAATGGGCGGCCACGAGCAGCCAGGACCAACTATATGTGCAAAACCAATGCCCCCAATGAACATCCCCGAAATACTGGAGTCCCAGATCTGTGTATGTATCAATAAAAGGATCCGCGTGTCAGTTAAATGACATGATATTAGCCCCATGAGCATGGTGCCCACACGTCCCATGTATCTACTCATCATAACTTCACTTTTTAATGCACCTATTTCTCATCTAGAATGACGGTCGTCTAAGCCATAACTTCGTCTTCACTTTATAAATATTATTTGTATTTATTAGTCAGGAATAATGCAGATATCTGAGGCACCCAAAATCGTTTTAACTACAATGGTGTATCGATTACTGATGGACAGAATCATTATGATCGCTCCATTTAGAAACCTACTCCTCGGGCAAGTGAGAGATTGCTATCAGTCAACTAAATCATCTAATTACAGTTCGCAAAATGCCAACGCCAATAATCTAACTTTATACCGTTGCCAATATCTAAAGGAGTCACATATCACACTAATCCCTGATCTCAACAAAAAATTTTTTCATAACATTAAAATTAATCTCGGTAAATTTAAAAAGATCGATCACAAAAAGAGAATAAAATAATTGCATGCGAATTAAATGCGCATGTTTTAGCTTTACATTCTTTGCTGCTAATTGCTTTCTACACGATTCCCCAAGGTGACCGGTTATTTGCAAATTATCACGAACTACGATTGGTCAAGTTAGGTGACGGGTTATAATTATTTTCAGTACCTACGAAGGTATGCAATAAAACGCTTAAAATATATAAAAAAATATTGTCGCCGTTAATGATAACTGGTTAAAATTCGATACACGGAATGTCAATATTCAGACTGTTCCGCTTACATTTTTTGTGAAAATGGTCGAACATTCAAGTCTTTTCACCTAAAATCAAGATTAGGTGAAAAATCCAGCCACTGAACAATACGTTCTTATTAAAGTCTAGTGTAGTTTTCGGGCCCATGGAAAGAACAGGGCTGAGAGGTAACACAAATAACTTTGCTAAATACAAAAAACGCTACAGTCTGGTTATTCGTATGGGCGAAAACGGCGGCATTATATATCCTTGTGTTGGTCGTCTTGCTCTCCCGTTGGTCCGTTCCGCGGCGCTGCACTGGAGACGGAAAACTCGTGAGCGGATTGGCTCTCAGTCCCCGGCGCGTCATTCAATGCCCGCGTGACGCCACATAGCCGGGAGTCGCACCTCCGGTCACATGACGTCGCCACCATAGCATGCTTCTCACCTTCGACCAATGCATTAACACCAATATGGCTGCAGTCACTCCGCTACACTAGTGAAGTAATTGTTCACTAGACCTTCGTAACTCGAATCCTTATGCGCACATCCAACTTCTCATTTGTTTACATATGACGATGCAATGAACCCTGGCCCTAACAATTTGCCATAATTATTTTAGAAATAACCTTGTCGGCTATTTTTTTCACACACGGCTGTCGCATTCGAAATATCTTTCGTCAGTACTTACATGCTACCGACTGGGCGGAACTTCAACTCAAATCTCACTAGTGAGAGCGATTTTCCTCGATTATCCCTTCGAGTGATGACATCCGCTCAGATGTCAATGTTAGCACATCTATGACACATTGTATCACTCATCTAAGGTACAAATACACACGAGCAAACGCCTCACGCGACCCCAGAATAGTTGAGAACGGCTGTGTCAACGTTCTTTCTGGTCTTCCTCATCTGCTAGCATAATTGCGCAATCGGGCCAGATTCAACTCAGTGGCCCCGGCGTTGTTCAAGGCCACATTCTGTTGTTCACACCACACTCCATCCGCACAGTTTCTTAAAACGTTATTACAATTGTGACACTATGGTTTTGACTACAGCTCTTTGGGATGCTGATGCGACCACACCTCACACTACCAAATGATAAAAAATGAAAAACTTGTTCGTGTGGGCCTGAAACGCCTATAGCGGATTATCAGTGACTGAGAAGCCTTTTGACCAACCTGAAGATGTCAATAACGCATTCCTCTTACATTGGTTACTGTTACCACTTGTGTGTCGTTCGCACATTCATCCACACACTAAGACACACTTGGCTGGCGTGACGATAACAAACGGCCGCACGTGCTGTCACTGTCTTATCCCTCCATCCGGACCTATGAGGACTGTTAAGTAGAGGGCTGTAAGGTAGTGCTAACCAAGCCACTATACGCCCTCACGTTCCAATACCGGTCCCACCATTCTGATTCTATTGCGCCTAAACTTTGTACCCGAGTCTTAACAACACCTGATGCTGTGGCGATACACGAGTCTGATTTGGACGGCAACTGCTGTTCGATGCGTACCGATCTTCGAATGTATCTGCAAATGCTTCTAGACCAGGTGGCAAACGGAAAATGAGTAAAGATTTATGATAAGAGAATACAACATTGAAGGTTACATAAAAGATTGACAAAAGGTGTAAGTGGACGGCTGGAGAGAGAACTTGAGAGGTGGGAGTGAAAATGCCTCGGATTTTGTCTCTGCCGTCGACTGATGGTGATTCTGCAAAATTCCCAAGGCATTCACGCCTCAACCTTACTGTGTAGAACTCCCGCCAAAATATGGGAAATAAACTAAGTCGACACTGATTGAAGCCTGATTTTGAAAAGGGTGGGGGAGTTGGCTAGGCAAAGTACATCACACGGAGAGTCTCAGGGTGTACAGTGACTGCTCGCATCATTGCTGTCGGTGTTCTTTCATCGGAGTTGCCGGACTTTTGACTTCCTTCACCACTAACAAATTGAAAAAAAAACTATGGCAGTCGGGACAAGAAGCAAGTGAAGAATGTGGAGCAACAACAATTCGAAGTTCAGTGCATTAGAGCATCAAGAAATGAATTCAACATGGAAAACTTATCAACCAATCAGACACGTGATGCTTATGGCGGAGTTAACGGAAGTACTAAAGCTTTGCTTCAGATCACATCTACATTGAAAGCCATTGTTTTTTAATGACTAACAACGTCTAAATTCAAAGACCCATCGAAGTCGATGGACAACGTACCTGTCGATCTCCTTTTCAACAAGGTGATATCGCGCACGAAAAGCCACTAGGTGCGCATAGTAGGCCGGCGCAGGGATGGAGACGGAACGAGTACAGCGAACGTACGTGTGACAAAGTTGGTAAGTCAAGTTTTGAAGGTCGTCCGCGGAAAAGCTGTTTGAAAACAAATGTGAAAAGCAATAGGCAAGTACAAACCCTCTTCATGATGCAAAAAACGCTGTAGTTTATAAATGCACACTACCGCACAGTGATCTAGTTTCGTGGGTTAGTAGGGGAGGGCAATACGCGACAATTTCTCACCGACTGTTAACGCGTGGTGAAAGCGTGATTTCTAAGAGTGCCACAATACATGTGGAAGTAGGTCAGCATTTCCATTGGGCAGTTGACAGTGAAAACGTAACTAAATACAAAATGGCTACTACAAAGTAATATTACCGTTTTGTAAATTCATAAGAAAATGTGGAAGCCGCAAGACATTTGAACAAAACAATCCGCTTGGTACACAAAATTTGCTTTTTAGGATTACCTGGCTAGCAGCTATTCAAGTGACCAAGTGAAGCCCCCTATTTTTACCTACAAACGCTAACGTGCAAGTACGAAGGCGACTACCAAAACGTGTGGATGAAGACTAAATAGTTCGCACAAGCAGGTGCGTTCTACTCAAGCCGTAATTGGTTACATACGGCAATACTGAACAACTAACCGCAAAATACCGTGTCAAACAGTGCACCAAATAGGCAGGGAGTGACTCACTGATTGTCATCCCAAAGTACGTGGTAGTGACTGGGCCTTGAGGTGCCCTGGATGCCAGCGTGGGAGCAGAGGTAGAAGTCGAATTCAGTGGGGTGGGTGATGATTTGATCGACGGTGGTGCCTGCCGGGATGTTACCCGACTTGCCCATCTGGTCCTTCTTGTCAGCACAAAACAGTCGCGTGTGATGGCGCTTTTGCACAACAACGAAGGTAATACCTGGCTGGTAGCCAATTTCCAACCTCACACAAGCTTCTCGAATAGCACGTAGCTCGTGATTCAATACCTATCAAGAACGAAGCAGAACTTATAACCCAAGATGAACGCATTTATTTTAGGGGTGTTTAGTAGAAAACACGGTGGTGCGTAAAGACACGTGTACCAATAAAAAACGAATTGGAGGCGTAATTTCTGCATGAAAATATGTATACAGAAATGTTTTCCAACAAAATAGGCTTCTAACGGGAGTTTTTACGAAATGATTGAGTTCTGGCATGTTTTCGTGTAACCACAATCTATTTTAGTAGCGAAGTAAATCACGCCATACAAGTTAAACTGCATCATTTGAACAGATCTAACATGCGCACACACACACACACACAAAACTACCTGCCTAAAACCTTCGACTTGAGAATTGTCTTGAGCTGACCTACACAGCATCAATATGACATCCGATTTTAACTCTACCTATAAAGAATCGAGTTAAAATTTTAAAAATAATGAAGATTTTGTTGTGGGCCCCAGCATGTGGTCTCGAACCGTGCCGGGACCACGCAAATAACCCTGGCCCAACTACGCTTGCCTAATACCCGCAATGGAGAGGAAGATCAGAGAGGACGTGGACACAACAATTTACTTCAGAGCTCAGCCACGCTGGTGTCGTTGTGTCGTGGGTGGCGTTTGAGCGTGAGCATTTAAAACCTCGGATATGAGTCATAAATGCGCTAACATCCAGACCTAGGCGTGAGGATAGCTCAAGACAACTATTCATGCGAATGAGGGGGATTGAGGTTCCGCGCGGCTGGCGACATGCTGCGAAAAGGAGAACCCAGTGTCGGAGGTGGATCGGCCGGATTAAGGGATGTGAATAAGCACCATTCACAACAATTTAGATTGTACGAGCATCATCCTAAGACATTTACGCAAATGACTGGACTCACGTTTAAAAACTGGCCCTCGCTAACGCCATCGCGGTAGTAAATTATGCGCGTGGGTTTGAAACGAGTCGACCGATAGAACTGCAAGAGTAGACTGCGGACCATGGGATAGAGATCCTGAATAATTTCCTGTCGATGCGACTGAACGCGCACTGTCGCAGAATACCGGCTGGGATGGGCATCCATGCTGGCAACCACGGCTGCTATGCTCGGCTTTGTTTTATCGCCTGCAAGAGAAGTTTTGGACCATCTTTTAAAATCAATCAGTGGATTGGGAGCGGTACTTTAAAACTTCAAAAGCTACTACTGCATTGATGCCTACACTTGAGCCAACCACCTAGTTGTGTTCGACGTAAAAATTAATGTTTCGAGCTGATAACCAGGGAAGCTAACCGTATTGTGACACTGAGGAAGTCTAAATAGCCAGTTATATCTTTACAATGTGCAACAGGAATCTTTAAAAATTAACTAATTGCAATGAGACTATGGAATGGATTCTATTATAGGAAGGGGAATTAATACGCAAGATGTGATTTTTGTTGGAACTTATTGCAAAATTGGCGAAATTCCAATGGGGCATGGAGGAGTAGTGACAGTTAAATTACAACAAAATGCTCACCAGCGGGGGGGTGAGTCACGTCTGCGCCGAAGAAAATAACTGGTTCCCGAAATACGGCCGGACGGACAGCTGGCACCAGGATGGAGTTGATACCGCCGAGCTTGACGTTAATTTTCAAGCAAAGGTTCGAGAGAGTCTGAGGTGAGGTTTTGTTGACGTTTTTCGACTGAACGCACTGAGTGGCTAGGCCGAACATAATGTCACCAACTCTCTTCACCTCAGCTAGATGTGAGATGAAAATAAAAAAAATATTTACACATATAACTGGCTCGACCCACTAATCCATTCCGCATCCTGTAATTTATCAACTTCAATAAGGATACACATCGGTGGTGACTGACTTATTAAAAACTACCAAACAGGAAGAATAGGTCTCGGCAAGAGCAATTTCATATATCTGGAAGCTTAAATGTCTGTACAGTATTCGTCAACGATGGGACGTTAACATGGCATAAAAGGATAATTGAGTGATGCTTGGAGCTCACCATAAACAGGGGTCTTTCCCGGTAAGACAACCACAATAAGCTGGAGCCCAGTGTGTTGATTTTTGAGAAATCGGAACATCGGCTCGACCTGGTCCTGACCGGTAGCATACTTGCAGAAACAAGGCTGACCCAGAATCGGCATTCCGGCGTCATTCGAAATCTTCTGAAGCTGCACGATGAATTGTCTGCAGAGAGAGAAAGCAGTGCTTATGGACGCCCAATGGTAAAACATTCGACAGATTAATCCACGAAAGCAGACTGACCACTCAAGAGTATTATAATCTACAATAGTTAATTATGAACGCACATCATTAAACCTATCGGTCGTACACAGTTTGAATGCACAATTGTAGTTTTTGTGCAGTCAAAAGCACAGTATGAACATGATACTCACTGCAGCGAATCTTCTCTAACGACCCGTTTGGGAGCGAAGCAGGCGATTGCCCATGTTTTGATCTCGATGCCTGAATAGAACTGCTTGCCGCGCATATCCCAGACACCTAGTTGAGGCGAGGCCTGAGCCTTGGTGCGGCCACCGTATTGAATTTTGGGTGCAGGTATCACGCGACCTTGGATATCGGCCATTCGTGTGTTAACATTAATACCAAACATTTGAAGGTGGGGATCTGCGTTGAAATTAGCACGCTTCACCTGGAAAAAATTAAAATGTAACAGACACGACGCCACACACAATGCGACTTCCACGTTATTCATGCAAGAGCAGAACGAAGATTGATAAATTATTTCCACGTTTCTTGCACTTTAACGACCCAAATGCTTGACAGATTTTCTATTTTATAAATGATAACCAAACTTACTTCTATTTAGGACTTAGAGGATACACCAAAAATTAGATTTAGAATCATAGAATTCGAACTTTCGTTTTTGTACTTTGAACTGAAAAAAGACCGATGCCGGTCTTGCCCGAGATTCTAGTAACTTCAACGTCAATCACTGCCTAGACACTTGAGGCTCACTAAACGTCAAGACGTTACTCTTATCGGAAGACAAAGATCCCGATAGAGCTCGAATCACCAACCAAAACAGATGTCACAAGGTAAGAGCAACAGCCCAATGTATCCTAGTGCACAAAATGTTTGGACGTAAACAATTGCAAACACAACATAACCAAAACATTACAACCAATTTAGTCTATCGTTGTACCAGCCAAACTAAAGGCGAATCATTTTACTGCCGAGCATTTGGTAGGTGAATAAAAAGAATAAACGATGACATGTTTTTGTAGGCATCACACACCTTGTCGTGTCAGGAGGCCAGGATGCATGTAAGGCTATAAGAAAGTGGAAAGCATACCAGATTGTTGATTTCTTTTTCTCTATCAGGGGCGGAACGTGCAGTGGCCTTAATCATGGTGGACGTCTGCATATCGGTGAGCTTTTTAATGCACCGTTGCCCGGCAACCATATTGCAGACCTCCAGCGGGAGATAAGTGTGCTTCTGTTCTTGACCCACTTGCAAGCAAGGCAGGTTCGGATAACTAAAGAATTTTAAAAACCCAAATTAATACGAACTGCCACGAAGTCACGATCAGTGTCTGATGAACACTGCATGATTACAATTTGATTGCTTTAAACATCAATCAGTGGTCGGCGGGATTACTAGCTCGGACTAAATTAAGCTTCTAACGTCTCAATGCAAATTTATAACTGTCAGGGGACCAAAAACTTTGTCTTTATGTGCGTGTCCCGCTAGACGAAAACGGCAAAAACGCACAGCCTCCGCGACTGTGACTACACAGTGGTGCGACATATACTATCAAAATAGACTGTAAGTAGACAACAAACAGGATTACCGGATTACTTGCGTTTATTTCTACCATGTCGCACGGTCCGTTACGTAATACTTCACCATGAATATATATGTATGGTGAGGCGGGCCTGGCAAACTGACACCTAAAGCCCCTCTGGGTACCCTAGCTGTAAACGACTACGAAACACGGATCAAATGCAATATTCGAAACGCGAGCAAGTTATCACACTCCTTTGCAACGATGAAGGAAGAAGGCGTTTGCCGAGTCAGCGTCTGCAAGCACACACACACACATAACCAACCTAGGTCGAAAACGGTACGAGTTAATGACACCTCAAGCATCTTGGAACACATCAACGACCTAAAAATGTGTTCCAGAATGAAATGTTTGGGGAACCGGAAATCATATTTCTTAAGGTTGTGTAAGAAGTAGATGACAAAGTTAAACTATGCGTACGTACACTTCAAAATTAAAAAAAGTACTATGGCAAGCCCGAATTTTATGCAAACGTTGGAAATCATTATCCAAATTGTTTTGAGTTTTTTTCGGACAAAATCATTGCATGTCTAGAGAACATGTAGTGAGGGACTTGATCACAAAACTATGTTGACCACAACTTTACTTAGATTAGAATGAAACAATCGTGGGATGGCTTGAAAACGCTTCGCACAATAAGGCAGTTAACGTCTTCACATTACAACGGATAACCAAAAAGTTGACTTCCAGCAAAGTTACACGGCACTTTCTGCAGTTTATCTAGCCTGCTACAACTGGACCAAGTTAGCAATGATGCTAACCACTGAGCAGACTAATATAAATCGGACTCCGGCTACTGGGAAATCAGTAAAGCTTACTTGAGGACTATCCTGTAGCGATCCTGAAAGTACTTTGCAACAGTAGACTCTACGGTTGTTCCTGAATCAAGCTGGAGTGGAAAGGACTGCGCCTGTGCTGAGCGTCGAGTGACATTGCAAACACGATACTTTCGGCGCATGTTCCCACAATGAGTGATTTCAACCTTGAGTCCTTGATTAAAGGAATTTGAAAAAGTGTGAATGCGCAGCCATAATATATAAGACCCAACGTTTGGATGAATGATCCGCGCCAATTTAAGGGATGAAGCATTGTCTACCACAGCATTCAAGGGGGCTTTAGAAATACTGACTTTGCAGAGAGGAAGAGATCTCTTAGACGCATTTTTCTCGCGTATTTACTCAAACACTATGCTGCTATCGCTTACAACCCAAACTTTAAACCAAGAAGGTAAGGGACCAAAATTAGTGTTGATAATCACTAAATAATTAATTCACCCTTAATCTCCTTCGTGAATTTGACACGCTGGCTGTCTGTGAGGGGTCGCCGTTGATCATTTTTGTCAGAAATGTCGAGAACTTCGCACATGAAGTCGATTACCGACTGGGCTTTGTAAAATGCCGTCGCGGACACTGTAAAGCAGAAAATAAAAGTACACTGACGCGAACACTTGCGATCTTGTCACCTTGTAAGGTTACGCGCGCGTACTGCGCACATTTTTTAAAGCATCAAATGAAAGTTATAAACGTATGGTACCGACCATAAAAAGCAAGCCCAATTCCTTTCGGCAACCTTAGGAGAAAATAAGGATTCAGCAATTACGAGTAAAGACTACGAATGTAACCTCACTGTTACTCTGCGTCCTACCGTCATAAATTTCGAAACAACCAACTCAAAATCCTGACCGCGGACTCACCGTCAATATTAAGCATCATACGCCATTGAGATGGGCGAACACTTTGGTGAAAACCAAACCAAACCTCTCGCCCTCCACCTAGTGGGTTGTCGTATCCCGCCTCGGGATTTTGAAAAAAGGACCGACCAACAGGCGTGTAGCTTAAAAACAAAATTTGATAGAATTAGAGTGAAAGTACATACAGATCTAAGTATTTCACATTTGACCAGCTGATGTAAATCTGGTTGATCTAAAACTAATAACTTTGCGGCGAAAAATATGTACAGTTTTCATATTATCGCCTTAAAAATTGCTGTAAGAATGCACACGGCGCTGAACCCTAACCACATTTTCATAAAAATCACAGAGCAGGATGAATCAACCAAGACGAACACCGGGAGCTTCATGAGTCCGCTAAGTATGACGAAAAGTAGTGTTCTTCGAAAACGATGTTCAGCCACTAACACCACTCATCTGATGATTGAAAAAAAAATGATATTGGAGAGTGTCGTGAATTTGTGTCATTGTAATAACAAATTATAACGACATCAAACTCTATTATACTATGCTGATATTGAATGCATGTAGGTGACGAAAACGAGTTCACATACCTCATACTAGGAAGATGCCTCATTATGACATCAAGGGAGACCACAGCATCATTGGGTATTCTCTGAATTCGTCCATCAAGTGCCTCCTCCAATGAAAACAATGAAACTTCAGAGACATGCCGAATAGCGACCTTAAAGACACGATCTTTCCCTTCTCCAGGCAAAGTAACTTCCAACTCAACACTTTCCTTGCTGATGGGCAAAGGTTCGCGTGTGTACATGTTCCGACGACCATCAAATACTGGCTTCTGATTGTAAAAGTACTTCTGATAATGCATTGAGTTGACCATTGTTTCGACGATTTCACTAGAGATAACGGAACAATATCATGATAATTGAAAAAAGGAAGTGGATGCAGAAAGAATATGCCCTTCAAAGGAGCTCAGAAACGCACAAAACAGACTATTTAAAAATTAAAAATCGATTGCACAGAAAACAACGCTTACCGATTGACACGTCTTGGACACTTTTCCGGGCTTATAACAACGTCATAGTGATGAAGAAATCCCTTAGGCACCTTAATTTCAAAGTGATTAGCCTTCAGGGCAATGGGTCGGCCTTCTGTTCCTCTCCCAGGTCGCGGAGGCGGCTCAAACAACACGCTATGCTGAGTTGGTGCCTGATGATGTCGATCGTAACCATTGCCGTTACCACCAGAGCGGCTGCCAGAGGTAGCACCACCAGATGATCCCCCAGCACTGCAACCGCCAGCTGAACAGCCACCAGAAGGAGCGTCTCCGGAAGCGCCCGGAGGGGGAGTGATTTCATTACTTTTGAGGACAAGAGAATTGCTAGCGGGACTTCGCTGTTTAGCAACAACACTTTTGCAGGGAGGAGGCGTGCCGATTGGGCCGCTGCTGCCTTCACTAGACTCCGCCGAAACTGAATTTGTTATAGAGGGGGACACTTGAGCGTGAAAAGTACTCGAAGCCCCATTGCTGCCTAGAGTGCAAAGACATTGCTTTGAAATAACCTCATTTAAAACTAAAAACCACACCCAAAAAAACATTTCACTAATCAGCAAAAAAAACAGCAGCAGACATAGGCAATTTACCATAACCCTGTGGGATATCTTGTACGCCCATTGAGAAAAGGTGTGTCGGAGGATTATACCCATTGCCGTAAAGATTCAACATCCTGCACAGGAGTTGACTACTGCGCACCCTTGATGGCGGTAGTTGAGCAATTTAAACAACTTTAATGGAATCTGGCAAATGGCCTACTTAAAAAGTAAATATCGGAAAACGTCAATGTCATCAAAACCAGATAGATTAAATAATTATGTTATTATAAAAAATGTCGAGTGCTTTATAGTGTATGTAACACAAGAAAGTGAATGACAAAAAAATTCAAAAATTGGAAAAACTCTGCAGAATCAATTAAGTTTGATTTATTTTTAGTTCGCAATAATAAAACCATTAGTGAAATATTATTTAAACTTGTACAATTACTCTATGGTGACAGTAAAACTTAGAATTCTTTGGCAAAATTACCAATGTCTTGCCGCTGAGATGACTGACAGTTAGGTTGAAAGGAAATCAGTTACATTTTTCTACAAATCTTAATTAATGGAAAGTTTTTTAATAATGTGCATAATTATAAAGATTAGAGTAAAGTTCTGTAACTAGACCTGACGTTTTAAGCGTCAATAACTAATTCACACCTCTGTAATCTTTCGCTTCGACTCTATTAGGAACTTGGTTTGATTTATTTGGACGGCTCTCAGTAGATAGTTACACAAAAGCTATCCATTCGAAGCGTTGCTTTTCCTAACGTCTGTAATCTTTTTTACACAAAAATGTGGTTTACTTTGATATGTATAATATTTAAAAATTCTCATAAAATCTAAACACGCATTGCCAACACGAGTCATTACGCGTTTCACCGTGCATTTAAAGATGATGCGCAGTCTTTTCGCTGTCTGCTTGCACCTCTGTGGATTTAACAGTCATCTATACACAAAGGAAGTACTTCCATGTTAAAACATTCATCGTGATATTTCTGCATACCCTTTATTTTTACTTTTGTGGTTGTCGTAACATTACCATTTGGATTTTGTCAATGCGGTAGGCTTTGATCTAGGAGCGCCTACTTCAAGCGTACTTATTCTTCACATGGTATGTTATTTAATGATCCCTGTATAAGGAGGGCATGTATCTGTTTTACAAAGTTCTGAACTGCCTCTGAGCGTTCAGTCTGCTCGGAGGAACAAATGATTAGTAAAAAAAGTATTGTTTACATTCATTGTAAGTGACATTTGCATAGGAACTAGTGGATATACGCACTTGAACCAAAGCACAGCAACAATAGGTCGGTACTTCAAACTTTAAACTTATCCTGAACAACAAATATAACACCAATGAGTAAAGTAAACAGCAACTGTATACAGCAGATACTGTAGCCCACCACTTTTGGGAACTTTTAAATATGTTCCAACTAAACAGTACGGTGAACCACATTACAAATGTTATATACAGTGTTTTTGCTCTGAGTTTTTACTAATATGAATTGCCTTGGTAATGTTCCAAGTAGTCTCAAATGACTTGAAACTGCAAACAAACAGCCAATATTGATGTTAACTTATATAGACTCACAGTACAACGTATAGCTTTCAAAATTAGTCACGTTCATCAAATGATAAATCGCTATTTTATTTTTCATTTGCTCACTGGATGCGCGAGGGTGACGAATAACGCTATTCAAATGCATCCAAGGCGGTACATTTATGGTAACCTCATATTTGTTGCATACGTTTACTGTTTCCTCTAAATTATAATATGTATGGATTAGGTTAACATGTAGTCGTCTTTATTCTCAGGAAATTATGCGCGGTTATTCGATCGTGAGCTTCAAGTCTACATAGACTTTTATAGTTTACAACGTTATCCGCCTTTTGAAGGACTTATGATGAATTCGATGCGTCGATTTGACCAGTGAACTCGGTTATTATATGTCGATGACCTTACTGCAATGCCTGTTAGAATTTAAAGCCACTTAGCACTCGAAAAGTTACAGCAGTTCTTCATGCAAATAATTTACTATTGAAATTACAGGTCATGAAAGAGTGAGTGAAACTAGAAGTAGTGCTGTTCTCTTTGAATGTAATCATACCTTGGGGGATCTTCAGTAGGGGGAAGGGGAGGCATAGGTGCCGAAGGTAGGACACTAGGAATTTCATGACGAATATGTGGATCAGTTGCAGTGTGATAATGCGGATTGGTTGCTGTCGGAGGACACGAGGACTCTGTTGCAGGTGGTCTTGCGACAATGTCAACATCAACTTGACGGGGATATGTCGACTGTAGAAACACAGTTATACGAAATCTGATTAAACACACCATGTTGTTAAGAAATGCCTATTGTTTTTGAACTTGGCGTTAAAAATACTTTGGGATTCCAAACACTTCAAATGCATAAAAACCATAAGAGAGCGAGCTGAAAATGGACAGAGGTAGCTATACCTCGTTTTTCAACCATTCATTTCATCAAAATTGTTTAACGATGACAAAAGTCTCAGAAGCGTGGTGTTACAGTCATATTTGGCAAGTTTTTTGAACTAAAGTGAAGGTTCACCAGAACGTTATTCAAACTCCGTATTAAGAGGTTAATGCGATTAGTGACAAAAAAATTAGTTCCAAATTTAAATAGCACCCGGAATTTGTAGCTGAAACAGGAGGTACGAATGCGTTACCAACCGCCCAATCTAGATCATTCTGTTTGTAGTTGCTGGACTAAATGAAACTTTAATAAAAATTAACCCAACAATAACAGAATGACATGTAGCGGATTAACAGTGATCGCGCCTGAGTGAACCCTGGTTACCGATCTGACTGTAACAATGACTCATCCCCCTTCCATTGGTTACTGTATTAGATGCCTGTCATCCGTTCACTCATCCACACCCTAACTCACACACTTGGCTGGCGTGACGCTAATAAACGGTCGTGTTCACTGTCGCCTCTCTTCTCTCCATTCTCGGGTTGTTACGAGCTGTTAACTAGAGGGTTGTAAGGTAGTGCTTAGACCACAAGCCACTACAGGCATGTACCTACGGTTTTTAGCTGGTATAACAATCAAATTGACAACATGGAATGATGCACCAGTGTAATTCTCATAATATTTGGCTATTACCAAATGTTCATTTGAACCACATTTAACTTTTTCTTAAAAAAATTGTGTCAAATTAACATTTATCCTGTTTTTCCCTTCCGTCGCCTACAAGAATTATAAATACGGGTGCCTTTAAGGACAGTGAAATTACAGCATAATTAAGCAAAATACTTTTACTTTAAGCATTAAGCGAACTAACCGGCTTTAATGACATGACAGGTATCCTCGCTTTCTAACTTAAACTATAGACTTCTAATGTCTGGTTATTATTACATTCGACAAAATCACAAAAAGGCGGCTAAGGATTATGCCATGTATCAAAACTGTAAGTCGATGTTGATTGAATTGCTGTTGACAAGATAAGAACTGAAAACTAGACAATCTCCTGGCAGTTACTTTAGGCTGATATATGCCTACCTATACCGCGGTTCTGCGTGGAAAACTGGTGAACACATGTGGGATAATAAAAATAAAGCTCCCATCTTGCAACCTACATAAATGTTTTGGTGGACATTTTAGGTCTAATTGATCGACTTTTGCCCTCGACATCTGGTGTCTCCTTAATCTTCTGTATCGTAGATATTTTAGAAATTGCATGTCAGCCTAGGAAGTCTAAAATTGGTAAAGGTATAACGCACAGCATGACAGGAAAGCAGTTGTCCGCACAAACGAAAAAATCAAGAGAAGTTGGAAAGACTCTAACTGTGGTTATGTGCAGTCTCTATTTAAGGCAAATGAGGTTCTACGTACAACGAAAAATATCAGGTTTCCAGATGAGGCATTTAAATTATATTTCACTGGTGTGATTCCAGCATATGAGATTCGGACAAAAAGTCAAAAAGTTCAGGTGTGTAACGTTGCAGTAAAGCCTGTCCACCTCATTTATGAGCTCGCACTTGGTTTTTCATGAGACACATTGTCGGAGTTAGATGGGAACCTAAGTAGCCATGACAGCACCTCTTAAGTGTCAATACAATTGTCAGCAATGCTGCATGCACACAAGTTAGCCTTAACTGCAGCAAAATCAGTGACTTCGTGGTGTAATTTGACTACTTACAGTCGTATCATCAGTCGAAAAAATTCGAGCCAATGGGCCATTGATGCAATACTACCTAACTTTCGTGTTTAACACAGTATAAATCATGGCAGTAGTGTCAAATTTTAGTGATCGACCATATACGGTTGGCACACCAGGGAAGATATGTTCTCCTACCGAATAAGGGCATAGTTATCATGAGGTAGTAATTTCAGACGGTATTTCTGAAATAAAAGTGACAATGTACTTACGTTTTTCAGTGCATCTGCTGGCCGTGACTGGTAGGCCACCGTCTCCGAGCGGCTGGCCATAACTCTCATAAAGACTGGCAGGTAGATGACGAAGATAAAAGCGCATACGCCACCCAATATTGATGAGAGAAGGCCTACTACCCACAGTTCTCGGCTTCTGAAATGCGTTATTAAAAATAGCATTGTAACGGGTACAGTAAATATACGGCCTACTTATTTTTACTTGAAAAAAGCTTGAAAGCTGTTACCAAACATGCCAAACGTATCAAAGTAACAACAATAATTCCTCAACGGTTCATAATTGGCGTGAGCAGAAGACACGTTGGCTTTCATGGACAACCTGTGCTTGTTTAACTTAAATGCTAGGTGCTTAATTTAGATATATGGAAAAAACAATGAAAAAATCTAAATTTAGCGGTGGGTACTAAGGGTTCCAGCTAAAGCATGTGTGGTTACATCCGCAGGCACGGTGAATACCGCTAATTGACCATAGAGAAGGTACGTGTGCGGCCAATAAAAGCCCTAAGATGAGCCTATTACTTGTCCAAGTTTGAAGCATTCTGTTATTTGTGATCTGGCGAATATAAAAATGCTCATTTTAAATATAACAGGACTTTTAAAGCATACTTGGAAACATTGATTATCGAAAATCGGTGACTGTTTAATTCAGACTAGATTGGACTAATATTTACGTTTTTATGAACAATAGCGCCTTCTATAGCCAGAGCTACCGGAAATCGTAAATTTGAATTAATGCAGTAAAGAAGGTCATCAAAAGTAAGCCAAATAAGCTTAATTTGGTCAGGAAACTAACTAATGAAATAAACTATTAGTAAAGTGAAAACGAGCGACATATGAAAAATGTCTAGGCTGTCGTTGATGAACAACAAATCAATTAGATTTGAACAAGCTACGCTACCCGCAAAAGTGTTAAACACTTATACTGTTGCTTACGTCTTCGTGTTTTGAAAGACGAAAATAAGGGTCAGTCCAACGGTTAAGAACCCAGCGGCCAGAGATCCGAACACGATTGTCCGAATTTTTAGGAATTTTCGGTATTCTGATCTCTTGATCACATCTCGCCTTGAAGGCTCCGTCCCAAGTCGCGAGGTTCCAGACAATATCCGTGAGTTGTCCAAATTCACGTTTTCGTTAATATGAGCATTTAAATAGTTGCCAGGTTCCATTATTCAGGAATTGCACCAAACTACAAACAAGTTGATTTTAGACTGGCTTCATGGAACTCATATCACAGACCAGATTTCAAAACACGTAAAATTAAAACCACAGGATAATCGTTGCGTTTCTAATATGATCGGTCAGATTCATGTTGAAGAAAGCCCAAAAATTGACTCAATGAAAAAAAAATATTTTATTCAAAGGATTTACATTAAAAGGCCATTTCTCCTACATCTTCGCTGTTATGGTCAGTATGTCACAAATCCTTCCCAAGTGTAATTTTTACCATTTGACCCTGCCATCAACCTGATAGCTTCAGCTTTTAGATCTGTAATTCTTCATTGGCGTTTTGTGTTTCACAAAATGCAACTTTTTGGTTTAAAAATGTTGTGCTCCATTACTAATGAGTAAACGAAGACCGGGATACTTGGAACGCAGAGACAAGTGTGAGCTATTTAAACTTTGAAGGTAATATGGCATCCCAGTTGTGTTCGTAACGAATGTGGAAGGTGTTTCTTAAGCTGAGGATTGACGACTTTTACACTTTGCCGCTCCATTCGGCGAGGTTTGGATGACGATCGGGTTACAACGTGTAAATAATAAATCAGGCCTCCTAGTTAGCGGAACAAGATGGTGATTCCAGGCTTTACACTGGGGATACATCTGCCTGATCTGCATTGAACAAGGCCCTAACTCCGTTAAGTACCACTTAATCGTTGACATTACAGCTGTAATATTTCATGTATCGACGCATGAGAATGAACATGCACAGTTACATTCATTTAGACGATAACGAAAAGGGTTATAAATTGACGAATTTGATTGTGCAAATTATCCAAATTACGTTAAAATATCTTCTTCCTTAACAGACTATAGTTAAATTCCGTCAATAATTCGGATCAGAGTAGGCCTCCATTAGTTAATAATGAACCCATGACGCCTACCTACTCCGGGGTCAAAAGTTTAAGAATATCGGGGTCGCAGCCAAGATGACAGTAAATGAGACCATGATTCCGCAACATAAAAATTTGGCTGAGTTCAAGCTAAAACTCGTGTTTGTCTTGTCCAACCCATTAACAAATCGGCTGCCTCCGTATTTGAATAAATCCCACATCGGACCTTCAGCAAAGATTTACCTCCCCCCGGATTGATCATCCCTTCATAAAGCAACCACTGTAAACCACTTTTCCCGTTTTCATACTGGAAATATCATAATAGTAGATTTTGGTATTTGGTAATAATTAAATTTTGTGGCATATTAAGAATCCTGGGCTATTTTTTTTTAAAAACCACAAGCGACCAGTACTTTTAGGAATTAGAAGATTGTAATCCAAAAGAGTAAGATTCGTTTAATGCTCTAAATATGAACGGGATTTGGAGCTTTTGGGGCGTCCGATTTTATATAATGCCAATTTGATGCTGCTAAAACTTTTTCCTAAAACAAAGAGTTTGGTGGGTTAAATTCCACCAAAAATTAAAAAAAGTAGTTTTGTGGATCTTTAAAGTGCGATGCTAATTGTTTCCGTCAAGTATTATCTAAATTCACATTGAAGCCATCAGCTAAACAAGGGGTTAAGGTAGTCGTGGGTAGGCTTAATACATTGTTAAGACGCAGTGTCGTCGAGATTACTCAGATTTATATCACTTTGATATTATGTAATGCGAATTCGACTCTCACGTGAGTACAAGAAATCGGACAACAGTGTTTCTGTCCTGTGCCTGTGTTGACCTTGTCATCGAAAGGCCAAAAACCTTTTTCACATCCTTGTGGATATGCTTCAGCCTAAGTGCTGGGCTGAAATATTTTGACAAAATTCGGGTAAAACTAATTGTGTAAACTGAGATATTTGCTGATGGCTCACTTCTAAACAGGCAGGTGTCAAGGTTACAGCGAAAGTCTATAAAGTGTACATTTTGTTCTCCTTTCCTGTACTTCCTAAATTACATATAAATGATTTTGTCATTTTCATGTTAGATAAATTGAAACACTGAAGAAGCAAGTTACCACTTACGTCTTCAACTGAGTTCGCAACCGCCTGCTACGGTAGCGCAGTATAATCACATGAGGCTATCCGTTAACAGCAGTTACCGAAAACGGGATAATTGGGTGGCCAATCTCGACGGAGCAGTAGCAACTGGTGTTATAAGTCGCCAGGCTCGGCGCGCGCTAATGGTTGACTGCATTGATTGGTCCACAGTTTAAACCGACCCTCGAGATGCTGATTGGCGTCAGTGTTAACTAGACACTCCTTCACCCTCCAAATCAGTCCTGTTATGCTCCTCCCCCCATTTTTCCCCTCTAATCAGTGAGTTGAGAATCAATGTAATCATCACCACTAATAAAAACCTTGATTTTATAATTATAGCCACCTATTGTGGACGTTTGGATGAAGTCTCCTAGCCACTTAAATTGACAGGTTTCGCCTTTTGCTGATGGAGCGGAAACAAAACCAACATTCTTTTGACTTCATACCAGTTGTGGCAACTTAAACCAGCAGGTAAGTCGTTTAGTTGTGTCGGCGAATGACATTCGGTTTAAAAGGAAATGCCTCGAGATGTTCGTAAAGATGATCGCGTTTTATAGTGCTTACGAAAAAAGACATTAAATCGTAATTAACCTTTAAAGAACCCTTTGGCCGTAAATACTGGCGAATAGCATCTACTTAGTAAACGTACGGGCCCGGGCCAAACTGTGTATCCATTCCAGTTGCCCGCCAAAAAATGTGGCTGACATGCCCTTCTTTCATGAACTTGTTACCAAGACATAATGGGCGTTGTGTAGATCACGTAGGTGTAGCAAATCGTGGTGATTCACACCCTTAATCGTCTGTTCATGCATCCATGTGCATGTATCCTCCCCCCGCAGCTCATTTTACTCACCTGGCCACACCGCAATTTGTACTTTTACAAGTTCACCGACATTGCCGAGAATTTTCGTTGCATCTTCTAGTCCAATCAAAAACCTGACTTAATTCCTGGCTTATATCATATAAAACTTCTCGTAGTTAATCACAGCTAGTGATTCCATTTTCTTAATGAATTAAAAAATTAGGTGAAGCACATACATTGTTTTCTTAATTACCAATTCAGAGTACTTTATTTTACTTTGTAGAGTGGAAAATAAGGCAACACGCATACATTTTCCGACTTTCTCACTGACTGAATGTTAGTGCATCCACAGAGAGAACCGACCACGAAGGAACCAGGAAAGCCGATTAATTCGCATGCCTCGTTTGTAGCCAGTCTTGTGAGTAACTTAACAAGTCTGCATTTAAACCAGCCTGCTTCAGTGTGGTGGCGTCTGGAAGTAGGCTTGCGTAGGGTTCGCCGACGGGAATGTTGACGAATAACGTACGACACGAACACAAGCACTACGTGAAACGCACAGGATTGCGATAACATGTCTTACATTTATTTCAAATCCAAGTAGATTTACTTGCCGTCTCAGGCATTGGGTGAGCTTGACTTTCGCAAGCTACAACAGCCAATTCACAGAAGCTTCTACGACTCCATCTATACAGACTAAACCGACAATATTTGTGCCAAAGAATTTTGACTGCAAACTGAAGGTGGAGTAAGATTCCACAAAATGTATTCTAAGTCTATGGAGACATTTTAAGCGTATCACGGAAAGCTTCATTTGATGGGGGAGCCTTTAAACACCATAATGCGTGTCCGAATAAAGATAGTATTTGTGGACCATGTCGATTTCACGGACTTGAGGCCACTTGTCGAACGACGAGAGAACAATACTACAGAACGGCAATAGCCGTTTATTTGCCAAGTTTGGCGTGCCATTGTGGAGTGGGTGAGTGTGCGCGCGTTATGGGGAACGGCTGGGATTGGTGGCATGTGGAAACCAACTAAATTGTCGATTCAAATCACCTTCAGATACATTTTTTTCAGACATGCTTTGTCTGATCACTCCTCGTCGAGACAAGCCATTACGCAACAGTGTAACCAGTGATGTGCGTTTTTGTAGTTCAAACAATTTTCTGACTAATTGCTCGTTACGACGACGCGCTAAATGTAAATTTTGACTTGGAATAACTAATGAGTGGAAACCTCAACACAATTTGACTATACTGTCCTTAGATGGTTACTGACGCTTCGAGAAACACTGTTGATAATGACGATAATTCTCCCGCCCAAGAAGATAATACTTGGCCGAATCATTGCTGCCGCGTATGTCAAAGCTGCTGCAGATCGAAGCACTGTTCGGATTTCCTCAAATCTACTTTCCGCCACTTGTATGTATTTGGCCCATTTTTGCTGCTACTGGGAGTCATTTTAATGGTCTTTGACTATTTTAACAATAGAAGCAACGGCACAAGTCTAGACCAGCACGGAATCAGTCCCGACAACTAGTAAGCCCAGTTGTTTGATTTAATTTTTCGAAAGTAACGTCGTAAATAGCTGCAGATTCGTGACATAGGCGATCAATAATTTTGCAGTTGCATTGCTTTTTGTTAGTCTAAATTCAACATTGTATTATACGAAAGTTTTTGGGGTGAAGTGTCAATTGTATTACTCTTTCTGACACCATCTGTCAAGGAAGATATTAAGGCGCGTTTTAGTTTGCACTGGTGTAGACAGGATCAAGGTTCAATACTCTACAAATTATAAATGAAATATCGGGATTGTACTTTCTACCCATTTATACTATGGTCTCAATATGTGGAGCAGTGCCTAATCTATAATCGAAACCAGTTACGTTTCAATAAGAAAATAAAAAACGTTGCACTTTTTACATTTAGTGGGTTTGGTTGATCCCATGAAATGGTGTCTACAATTTGATAACACGACTGTTTTTTCACAAAACAGCCCCTTACTGGTTTGCTATTTTTCAACTATACAACAATCCTAGTTGGGGTAGCAAAGGCGGAAAGTCTGCCGGCCTGAACTTGTTCGATTAAAAGTGCAATTAAAGCACGTACCATAGACTCCCTTTGTAATGAATTGTGTTAATTCACGTTCGTCAACTCCGCCTGTGCACATACAGTCTCATGTTTACATGTGCGTTCTTCATTTATACCCACAACTCCGCGATCAACCAACAGCACACGTCTAATCTGTCCTCTACCACTTTTGGTTAAGGCCACCGTCAGCCATTGTCGCCACTCTTGTGAACGTCGACGATTCATTAGCATGCTCAAACCTGTGCACGGCCACACTTGCGTATTTTGCTTCTAGACCACCGTGAGGCGCCGCCACACCAAGTCGGATTAGCTACTGATACCACCCCGCTCTGAATTTTAGTCCTCATTCCGTTTGTTAGTGTATGCCAGCTCACAGCATTAAGGACTGCCACCACCAGGTTTCACACTTGCGATTTGCTGTTACACCACCACACCACTTTATCGTAGCTCGTCACGAGGCCGATCGAAATAAATGCGGTCATTTTAACCCCCCTCTATGGTGTGTTTATTGAGCGAACGAGTGTTGCCAGCTGATAGAATTAAAACCACGGCTATCCTCCTAACAACTGCTCTCTGGTAAGAAAGGTGGGATAAATTGGGTTCCCTTACAAGGCCACCTCAGGCCATCTTTAACACGCGGATTTTAAATTACGGTTTGTGGCTCATTGTGTGTGCATTTTGCAGCACTATTTTTGATTACGGCATCCTTGCAATCCTGATCGGCGGTTTCCTCTTGATAGCACTGTTCCTGTTTCATGCAATCTACAACTACCTGGCGTCAGAAGAAGTGACTCACATCACGGTGAGCAGGTGAATTTTGGATATTGCATTGTAACATTACTCCTAAGTCGATTCCATTTTCATTGTTATAGGAAGATGTGTAACGATCTGGCTCGTAACTGAATTCACGGAAAGGCACATTCATGTTTTTTTACTTGATTTGCAAGCTTAAATGACTGACAAATGCCTAACACACCTACTTTGCCTTGTTACTTGGTGGGAAAGGGTAAATGGTTTGGGAACGGGGCTGATACTCATGGGCAGTGCTTTGCCAGAATGGCTTCTCTTCCGTTTGCGAGACACAATTCTCCCGGTACACCCGCATTTCCCCGCTGAAAACAGACCGATCAAAGGGCACATAGCAAGCCTCGCGAAAACGATTTAAAACTGATGTATAGTCATTTCAAACACTGTGGTCAGAATTTGTTTGATTGCATTTCCAGTGTAAGGGCAGCGACGCACAATTGACGAACACACAGCCATAATTTGGTAATTGTGCAAAATAAATCCAATGCAATTAACGAGTGTGCTTAATCCTCAACCCGCTCAACAAGAAGTCTCTAAAAACCGCGCAGCGGCTGACCAACACCAAAAACGTGTACAATATCGTTATCTGATACATTCCTACTCCACCACACATCGCTTGGCCAAAATGTCTTGAAAATACACATGTTCGCGTCTTTCCCAAATGACTTTTCGAGGTGCATTCACTAGACTTTCATTATTTTTCATTAGAACTGAAGATATATTTCACGACATCTGTACTTTGACTGGGCTAGTGTGGCCGCAAAGCGTGAGTGGTCAAGCTCACTGGAAATACCATTATTCCACAGTTTACCGTGGGTTTGAGATTTCCTTAAAATTGCTATCAGGTATTGTCTGCAATTTGGTTGCCTCATACAGCTAAGCGGCATCACACACGCGTTGGATTAATTTAAAGCTAAGGCTGATAAATTTCGAATATCCCTACTTGGCTTTCGGTTTGACGTGGCGTGAGGCGTTTTCAATAAACTGAGACGACGTTACGGCCGCAATAACCATTTGTCCCGAAACACAAATGATTACTCGGCAAGTAAAGCACACCTGGATTTTGCATCTGCCCTAAGTTGCAGAACAAAAACGTGGTCATTAGAGCAACAAAGACCATGGCGAAATTTAGATCGTAGCAAGACTGTTTTATCGTAAAGAATCTAAAGTTCATTGAATTCGCCTAAAATAATGACAACGTCTTGTGCTATAGTAGTCCATAACAAAGTGATGGTACAATGTTACCCCCCAAATAGGACGAAGCAGACAAGAGGTTACATTTTATACATGTATTTGACGTATTCAAAAATATGTATACACAAAGCGCGAACATATCCCTCTGTACTAGTCGGAATCTTCCATTTCTTGCAATTCTGCAGTTGTTATCTAAAAAGTTGAAAATGAAGCGCTCTTATTCAACAGCAATGGCGTCGGTGAAACTGACTTCCCCTACCAGAAATCGTGTTTTCGGGTGGAGTGGATACCATGAAACTGCAATGAATCGGGCGTGGCGTCTGAAACATTGCCCAAATTTCCCGAAATTCGGTCAAAAAGCACTCACTGTTCCACCTCGACGAGCTAGGGGAACAAGTTCTGTTTTAACGGAGGCTCAGTGGTGTAGACGGTAAAAGTATGCTAGACACGAGATTTGACTTAGTGAATGCAACCAAGTACCTCCGCCTTGGTTACACGGTGATGCGCAAGAACGAGAACATATGGTGACAACGCCACAACTGATGATTCTAACATTATTCCCACGACATTAAAGAGGCAAAATGGGAAAAGTGAATTGCTGGTGCATTTCGGTCATTTTACCAGTGAGGCCAAAGCTTCACTATAGCCAAATTTACCATTAACATGTGCATTTAAATGTCAGCCGCTATTAAAATTCATAACGGCTCATATTCCAGTTCCCACTTTTTAGAAATTGATTAGAAATTTCTTTATTACCAATAGCACAGGGTAAATGACCTTCGATATTTGGCACATAAAGTCAACTGTCAGACATTTTGATTATTTAAATTTTCGACAAAAACTTCCTCATCAAATGGAACGTTTGCTCTGAAGACGGATCTATCCGAAATGCTTAAGCGGTGAGACATCTCAAAGAAGCACATGAACACGCTGAATGATCCTTCTGGCGACAGTGCATGGGCATTTCTTACGGAATAAAGAACGACCTCACATTTAAGTTTCAGCCTAGTCTGTTTTGTACGGAACATGGCAGGTCAGCCGATGCAATAGCGATTCACCTGAACGAGGAATTTTCGTAGTAGCTACTAGAGCTCCAGGTAGAATTTCCCCGCATTTAAATACCTGCTACTTAATTTAATATGTCCTTTCGCTTTTGACGTGGGATTTATAGACAAATCTTGTTGCTGGCGCACTCATACCTTTCGGCCTTTATGCTTTCGCATCTTTTTATATTCCTCGGAGATATCATCATCATCTTCTTCGTCGCAGGCACCGTGACCAACTACAGCTTGACGCTTCCGGGGCATGTGATTGCCAGGCACGAAGGCGGCGGCTTTGGGTTCCTCATTAATTCGGTGTTTTAGACGTCTAGACGCCCTTTTAGCCTTTTTTTCTTTCGTCTTTGACCACGGAGAAGACTAGTATGGGAAGGTGGAAATTATGTGAAGGCGCGAACTCGTTCAATATCCACAGCAATGGCAATAGTGACAGTTATAAACAAACAACGAGACATAAAACAAATTAATCGAGTTGAAAAACCGAAGAATACAAGCGGTACGGTTCAAGTGGCACCAGCACCTTGTAATCAGTTCGGAAAAAGGCATTAGTTCAAGTGGACCAATATCCACAAGTAAGAAAGCAGAAACAAGAATAACAATCAATAAAACTCCGAGCTATAGCAATGAAGAAATGGCGTTTAAATCATCATTTAGAATTCCTACGTACATTTGCCTTGCCGAAAGACGTGCATTTGTATTTAAAATAAGCCTATTAGGAATTTGATCTGAGCACCAAATGATGAGACAACTTCCGACACTATCTCATGATATGACAAAATAATTTGTTCTACAGAGCACACATTTTAGTTAAACAACAGAAGTAATGGCGATTTGAATGAATTGGCTCAGGTAGTGATTGCCATATCTCATAGTACTGCCCGTAAGATACAAGATTGTGATACAAAAAACAATCTTTTCTTAGGTAAAAATGGTAATGGGAGGAGTTTAGATGTGACAAAGACATTTAGATAAACTCATTAACACGGGAGCCACTTCACCAACCTTTTTGAACTTGGGGGGCGGGTTTTCCTCCAGGGCTTTTCTTTTCAGCTCCCGCTGTTTTGCAACACTTTTCTCTCTGAAATCGAAGTAAGTGTTAATCGCATTTGCACAGAATTTAACAGTAGGTCCATAACACATCTTGACTGGACGTAGGATTACCACTGAGTCTGCCCTCTATAGGCAATCAAGTACTTTGGTAGCTGAATGGTTACACAGTTTTGAAAAAAAAAGCCTAAAAAGATGACGCGGGTCAATTCACACAGAATCCATGGACATAATCTGATTTAAAAGTAGTATTAATCTTGCTATTTAAGGGGTTTTCCGAACTCCAAAATAAATATCAATCTAGTGAAACAAGGTTACGGTACCAGGGATCATCCACGAGTTACCTAAGAGGTGAGACCTTGCATTGCTCCAATAGAACGCGACAACTGCATTCAAAATGCACGTCGCAAATGTCGATTACTTGCATTAAGTCGGTTTGGTTTAAGTCATGCGGAACCTAATTACTGAGGTTCGTTATGAGTTCCCGACACTTTAAGCAAGTAGTAACTTTTGTAAGGTGTGATTTGGCAGCCTGATTAAATTGTGACTTAGAATTCGTCATCGTCAGCTTCAGCAAGTCAGCTAAAATTTCGGGCAACCCCAGAGTTAAGTTGTTGGAATCAATTCTGACAAGTGCCTTTGTGGATATAAAAGCAAAACACGCCCAAAAGTGGGGTTTAACAACTCCATGTTAATGCTTACCACGTACTAACAGACACAAACAAAGCTACAGGAGTTTTTCAGAACAATTATAATGTCGCCTATTTGTCAAGTAAAAATGACTTGCATGTCGACCATAAAAATACTCACTTATATTTCAGCTTTGACAGGTCGACATCTGGGGCAATGAAGCTGAAATTTGGTATTCCATTTAGCTCTGGCATATGAGGAAGACGTAGCAAGCCATAGGCATTGGCCAGTGCGCCAAGGTCCAAATCTGCGGACAGAGCAAGTGAGAAACACCAGGCTTATCCTCGTTGGTGGGTACTAACTAAGGTGCAAAAAGTATCAAGCCCCCTGCATAGTTGAATCTGCCAGGTACGTTATCACAAACTTCAACAGCGCACAAGTGAGCAGAAAGATTAGGTCTTTTTTAGGGACAATTATGAAACAAGGACAGGTCATGAGGTCGAGCTGATCAAAACCGCATCGAAATACAAAGTGAGCTATAGCAGTTGTGATCCCGACGAAAACCATCAAGTTCAGATAGTACAATTTACCTCGAATCTTGAACAACAGGCTGCAGTCATGTTTCCTATAGAACTGGACGAAGGAGACAAATGCCTTGATGCCTTTTTCGTAAAGCAGCCTGCATAAATACACAAAAATTCCAGGTAAGAAAAAGAAAGGGCTAAATCAGTGTTCTGAAAAGTGCATAAGGTGTGTAGGCGTACCTATCGTTAGTGCAGATTTTTTGCACTTTGAGGCGGATAGAATCAGTCGTGAATTGAGTCAGGGTTTGTGCGTCGACCAATTCCGTCAAGGTCCGTTCTACTAGAGTCACCTAAAAGTTGATGGAAAAGGAAGTGCTGCATGACCCTGTCATCAGGTCATTGAATCAGATTGCCGACAAAGAATCGGAGATAAGCAAAGTGAAATATGGGTACAACTGGGGTTCCAAATTTGTGCAAAATGAGGCCTTTAAAAAGTATGTTACTTTCGAAGTTAGACTGGGGAAGCCGCGATAACATTAAAATTATTCTCAATGTCTCCAAAGGGCTAGGTGCTAATGAGTCCATTCTAACCTTTTAGTATTGTTAATGGACATGAAACAAGGACAAGAGACGAAGTCGTACATTTTGATTAATTTGAAGGAAGTCGACATAAGCGAGTTCTGTTGGAGTGAGGAATAGGACAGCGCGACCCTGGGCTCCACAGCGAGCGGTTCGGCCACAGCGATGAACAAAGAAACTAGGACAGACAAAGGACAAAATTCTGACTTGGTCGTATTAATGAAAAAAAAAGAAAGGAAAATCCTGTTGGGCGGTGATCCAAAGCCGATAAAAAAAGAATGGAAGAATGAGCAAGAAAATTACTTTGCGCTTGAGGGCGGGTCCCACTGAATCACCCAGTTGACGTTGGGGACGTCGATGCCGCGGGCCATCACATCTGTGCAGAGGAGAACCCCTCTGTGGGAGAGGAAACGCGAAGTGAAAGCATTTAAGTGACATCTTAAAGCATTAATGGAGTCTTTAACGAGGTCGTTTCATTTACACGAACATTCGAAAATGGTGGTCTTATGCCTTTCAATAGGGTGTAACAGCACGAGAACTAAATAAGGTGATAATGAAGCAGGGATCAGTTTTCGAGAATAGGAGAGTGCACAATGTCAGGTTACCCGTCAAACGTGTTCGCACATGAGGACGGGATGCGTAGACTAAAGAACATCAATAAATTATCTGGAATCGTTTAAACTCGATTAATATGAAACGAAATCATTTGGTTGCCCTGTTTTCTCTTTCCGCCGCACCTTCGCTTAGGTATTTTGACAAAAAGACTTGTAGTGCTAGGATGATGGGAATTGATAACACATCATACTTGGGCAACAAGTAGTGCGCTTAAACGAGGTCAATTATACGGTCAATGATTTTATGAAAATGTGCGTTTACGATCTTTGGTCACAGAAATTAGTTCTATATATTTACATAGGCTTTCCGTAATGATGCTGTAGCGGATTAACAGCGATCGCGCCTGAGTGAACCCTGTTTACTGACCTGATGGTGACAATGACTCATCTTCTTTCCATTGGCTACTGTTAGCAGACGCGTGTCACTTGTTCACTTATCCACACACTTGGTTAGCGTGACGCTAATAAACAATCGTGTTCTCTGTCGCCTCTTGTTCTCTTCTTCTCGGGTTGTTACGGGTTCGAAGGTTGTGAGGTAGTGTTAAAAACAAGCCACTACAGTGCAATTACTTTACGCATTGCTATAGTAATTATTAAAGGGCACATCCGAGTAGATCGGGCACCTACATCGACACCTTCACGAGGAACATTTCTTCTGTCCAGTATAACTAGGCCCATGATAGTACCAAACGCAAAGGTGTGATTTCGGTTTGCTTTGATGTAGAATAAATTCATCTACAAAGTCACCATCCAATTGGATTAGACGACTAGTCTAAAATATTACACACTATATCACACTCATTCAGTTAAGTAGCGCAAAATAAAGGACAATCAGGGCTGTGTGACGAAAAAACGCTACACTCTTGGCTATTACAAATATCCACAATGTCAGAAATCGAAGTGCAAAAGTCGCAATGAATATGGGCGCCGTTCTCTGGCAAACAACCTCATCCGTGCAAGTAGACTAAAGACTTGGAATTAATGGATATCAGGAAACACGGAGACAATGCCCACTGTCTTTTCGATGCCAAGTGGAATAAAAAAGACGGAAGGGCAACAGACGCTTGAAGAAATGGCAATTGACCTGTTCTTTCTACCATTTTATAACATGATTTCAGAAAGCACGTAGTCCAAGCAATTGCGACAGCGTGGCATCTATACCAATGCGCGAAACATCAGTGCTTTGGAACTGACAGACCATCCATGATTGACTTACTTGGAGAGATTTCGGAACTTGGCAAAAATACTGCTCCTTTTCTGCCGCATTTTTCTGTGAAGTCCGTGAATTAATTTTGCATGGTTGGAGGAGAGGAGTCCGCCTTGAAGGAGGCGTGTAAAGTAGTCAACAGCAGCGCACGTCGCAAAGAACACAACAATCTTTTCTTCTGCGTGACTACGCAAAAACGTGATGAGTGCCCACAGCTTTTCTGCGGGGTTCACGACCTGTGAGAGGTGGAAAAGGGAAAGTATGGAAAGCATCTCCCTCGTTTGCCAATGTAAGCTTTAGGGAATTAGATGTCTAATTGACGGTTTGTTGATAAGCGAAGCATCCTCCCCCGAATTCCTCTTAGCAAAATTGAACAAAAATCCAGTACGAACAGCGGCGCGCATTAACACAAACAGAAACAAAAGTAAAATTAAGTATGATTAACACATGCGTACCAGACATTTAAAGTAATGCCAAACACTGCTAACAAGGTTGTAACTATTTTACGCGCGGCTGCTGGGCAGTTTGTAGGAATCAAAACATATTTCTACAGCAAGCGGTTCCCGTACACCAAATTGATAGGAAGACTTTGTTGTGGGAATTAAGCCAAGGGCATTAAGAAAAAGGACAAGTGCGCCAGATAGAGTCAAAAACATATGCCAGAGGCAATATCCAATTGAACTATCGACTGCGAATGTAAACAGAATGGCAGATTTAATAGTGACAAAAACAGCAGTCAAGATAGATAGCAAAAACAACCAACAACTAAACACAAAAAGTGCGACATCTCGGGGGTTCCAACGGTTTACATTCACTAACTTTCATCGATAACGATTACTTTCGCATGGATCCTGGCCAACAATACGTGTGCAGAAGTAGTCCTCTCGAACGAGGCACCATACAAACTCAATCAAACCGGACTCCTAGAATGTGCCCACAAAACACGCCTCAGTAAAACCGTCTACAACCAAGGCAACTTGTGGGCAATACACAAATGACACGACGTCAGTGAAGAAAAGACGTGTACTATTGGCATACGTTTTGCAATGTTACAACAAACTGTCATTAAAATATTTAGTTTTCGAAACTCTCCGTCATTTAAAACCATCGATATCAAGTAAATAAATATTAAATAGTTCAAACGATTTTGGAGTTGGTTTTGCTATCAAATTTATGAAAGGTCACCAAAACATTATTTAGAAGAACCACTACTTAATTTCGGCGAATATTCAACTGAAATGAATCACAAAAAGAGGTTTATTGTGAGTACGCACAAACAAGACAATGGAAGCAATTACAACTTTGGATTCAACATATGTAAGGAAGAAGCACACATACGTTTGACATAATGATACACGTAAATGTGTAGTTCTTGCAGAAAGTAACCACTGGGGACCATTATTTCCAGAATTATTTTTAACCTTACCACTGGCTTAGACTTACAACAAAGAAGTTCTCTAATGTTGACGGAGTTCTCTGCTGAAGTCCTGGTCCTGAGTTACTATTGGCTTCCGTGTCGTTTTCTCGAACAACCACACGAACAGGGTTCCGCAGACCTAACAAGACAACAAGATACTAAAACCGGTGAACATGGAGACATTAGGAATTCGCCTCAGAACACACCTGCGCGCAACAAATCGTCTAGCTGAGTGGTTTGCGTGGCTGAAAATAGACCGGTTCTGCGCTGTTTGGGCAAAATCTGAAGGATGGCATTTAACCTTGACGAATAAATAAAAAACACACACTGACTGCCTGCTTATTGCTTTTCACAACAAACGCATGAGACTACAGACACAAGGCAGTGCCAACAGGCCCAAACCGATAGTTTACCTTCAAATAACCCAAAATACTGTCAACTGGTTTAAATTGGCTGAGCTTGGTACTTATTTGCTCAGTAAGGCGATAACTTACTGGGGTTCAAAACCCATTTCAAGGAGGCGGTCGGCTTCGTCAAGAACTAGGATCTCCTAAAGAAAGGAAGAAGACAGAAATTACGACCACAACGCCTTTACTTACCAGGCTTCGCAGGCCCCGGATGAGGGGATTTTGGGTCTGATTATTTGAAACTTGTCCAAGAATTAATGGGGCTTTTCGGACTAAATCAACGAGTCGTCCGGGCGTAGCCACCATTACCGTGGCTCCATGGGTTTCAAACTTCCTTAAATCTTCCAATCGATTTGTCTTCGCCCCTCCTCCACCCCCGCCACTCAGAACAAGTGATGTCCATCGAGGCGATCTGACAGAATGGAATAAGATAGGAAGATAATAATGCAGTAATAAAGGATAATAAGCAAAAAATCGGTGTGCCGAATGAAAATGCAAGGATTTAAGGTAGAGGCGAAGAAATAGGGAGATAGAAATCGATGAAATGTAGAATAGAGAAGAGATAATGACAAAAGTGCAAAGCCAAACATGGGATTTCCAGTAACGTACCCATCAGAATGCTTGAAGTGATTCAAAAAACACTGAAGAACCTCATTTATTTGAACAGTTAGTTCATAAGTGGGTGAAAGGATAAGCGCTCCAATCTACAGTGGGTGTTTGTGTAAGGAAGGCGGAAAACCGGCATACCTCATGCTTTTTCCACTCGTTTTGACGCTGCGATAAGATCTCAAGTATAGGAATGACAAAAGCTATGGTTTTCCCAGACCCCGTGACGGCTTCTGCAGCAACGTCCTTGCGACTTAGTAGGAGGGGAATCACAGTTGACTGTACAGGGAAAGGCTGGGTGAAACCCAGTTTGTCAATCCCCGCAAGACATTCTGGACTTAGTTGAAGATCCTTCCATTGTTTTGCCATCTAGACAAAGAAGTAAATACATAGATGTTGGCGATGTCTTTAATTGTGACTAGCGCATGTCCGGTTTGTCAGGTTCACCAAATTCTGCGTGCACGCTTTGAAGGCATAATCTTAAACATCTACTGGACTACCTGAAAACCCTCAACATGACGAGACCTCCTCTACTTAGCATTCTAAGTTCATGTAATCGGTTCTTAGTAACGGGAATGAGTCTTGATGTCAATTAAGATTTGCTCCAACATGGAAAATTACATTCAACACGAAGCAATTTCACCGCATCCACAATGGGTCAAGTTTGGATATATTGTCAGAGCTTAACCCACTGTTCGATCAGCGAACCAAGCGTTTCACACCCACCATCGCCCGCATTTACAATAAGCCTACACGCCACTTCCATATCCGAATTATGCCTGGTCATCGCATTCCACGAACCCTATTAAGACCGTTCCTACTTATCAATAACCAAGACATTCGCAATGTATTTTAAGCATCCACACAAAAGTTATCTACGAGCATGAAATATAAACCAAGCTAGTCGACAATCTCCGTCCTGAACAAACTCGCAACAAAGCAATCAGGATAAGCAAGCGAGGGCAGGTGAGCAGAGTTTATTGAAATAAATGGCTAAGTATAAACCGGACTATAGAGACAGAAAAAACAGTTTTAAGTAAACGCATTTTGATAAGTGGTCAGAGTGGGGTGGTGAGGACGGAGAGATGAAAAAGGAAAATATGTTGCTGCACCAAGTCTTGACTGTAAAGGTTTGTAGACAGGATTGATAGGAATTTACAAATTAAAGGCAACAAAAGGGTTTCTAAAAAAACTATAATTTTATTCTATTCAAGAGTAAATGAAATAAAACAAGATTAAGTGATTCCATGACTAATGTTGGCACGCATTTACTCTCGAGCGAGTCATTTACGAAAGAATCGAAACAGAATCGGAGAGAGCTCACAATATGCACCTATAATTTTCACCTGGGTAGATTAGTTGATAAATGAAACGATTGCTCTACGAAAAGTAGACTACGAAAAAACGCAAAGCATCGAGTAAACTTGTACTTGTACAAATACTACCTAGGACAATACGGTAGCACGCAATTTGGTGTTTACCTGCACGTCTTCAATCAGGCATGCAGCCAAAAAACCACATTTTGCCCACACTGCTGTTGGACTACGTTTGCTAAAACAAAACAACCCAGCACATAGTAGAAGAGCTTAAAAAATAGAGATTATTGAGAAGTGAATGGGAAATGGAAAAAAGGGAAACATGAACCACCATAAAGCATATAATCATTAAAGTGATGATAAAAAATTTCTAACAACAAAAAAGGAAATTACAAAAGAAAACTTTCACACAGAATAGTAAAAGAAGTCACGGAAAGGCCAAACACGTGGGAACCATTAGGTTTACCAAAAAATATAGTAAAACATACACGACAAGCTGTGTATGGATTTCAAAAAATTCTCAAATCGAGCATTTATACCTCATACCAGCCGTATAGTGTATCAATACCATGGGTCACGACGAAACAAGACTGCTGTCAAATCAGCACACAAAAAAAGGTGAAAAAAAGGCATGCTCTGTAGGAACCTAATTATCGGAAATGCAACACTCGCATTGCAGTGTTTCCCCACGATAGTTATGGAAACATTTCAATGTGAGTCCCACCTACTTACTTTTCTGTGGGTGAAGTGTAGAGTGGTTTCGTGTAATGTGTGGTGTGGTGTGCCGTCGGATCAGGGCGCAGACATGTTTGGCAACCTGGACTCAGCCAATCCCGTGTCTCTCTGCGATCCAATGGCATGCCGGAAAGGAAAGCAGCCAACCAGAGAAGGACATGGATGAGACGCAGTATATAATGAGCGGCGTGGCCAGCGTGGCGGACTCGGATGGAAGGCGCCTGACGCGTGGCTCTGGCTTCTGATTGGTCAATAAAGCCTGTTCTGTTGCATCAGTCTTTTACCTATTGGTGCTCGGGTATTCTACATTGGTGGCAGCGGATGCGTTCGAATAACGCAAATCGAACCCCAGCCCTTTCTCATCTATGGTCAACACAGGCAA